TTAGTGCGATTTTTTTTTTTTTTTGGTGACCAATGAAAGGGGAGGGAAATTCTTGGTCATCCATGGGCGGTTTGAAGACTTGATTAGAACAGGTTGGCCACTATTGTTTCTTTTCTTTTTTTCTTTTACTGGAAATTAAGAAAAGTGAATGGGAGCCTTGGAACAACGATAAAACTTCCTGTGTGTGGCGTATAAGTTACGAGTCCGAACCGTGAAAATAATGATTAATGCTTGTATTAGAATAACTTGTATATATCACATCGCTTGGATTGTGGCTCTTTCCTAGACCGTGAACGCAAAATAACTTGTGCACCAGACTGTCCCGCTTTATTGGGAATTGAGAAAAGTAGTACTCCATTGACCTTTTGTTGGATTGAGAAAATGACAGGGTCTAAAATTGTGTTCTACAAGTGATACGAAGTTTTTTGTGCATATTCAGAACTATATTAGTCCCTCAGACCCCCAAAAAAGTAAAAATAAAGAACTATTATTCCCTTTCTTTCTATCATTTGGCTGGAGAAAACTCAAAAGGGTACTTCTAGTTTTTGTCATGTTGACAGATATGGCTCAGACAATAGTGAGCTGGTTTATTTGTGTGTTTTCTCAACTATCTTTAATTCAAGATAAATGTCTAAGCTCAGACAAAAAATACCAAATATCAATATGTGGTAGGTAATAGTTAAATACAAACACGGCTGGGAATTTAGCTGTTATTGATGATATTGTGCTGGTGAGAGAAAGCAGGTCCCATAAGTTGAGGTACATAAACTTATAATGCACCACTACGGGTGGCAGAGCCAGAATTCTCACCAAGGGGTAGGGGTGTACATAGACCGGATTGATTTGATTTTGAAAAATCAAACCAAACCAACTATATCGGCTTGGATTGATTCGTTTTTGTCGGGTTTTTCAGGTTTTCGGATTTTTTGTTACTTAAATATTATTTCAATCTTACTTTATTAAATTTTTTATAAGTAAATATATGTTTAGTAAAAATTTAAAAAATTATAAATATATTATCTATTAAAATATTCTTAAGAAATATTTTTGTAATAACACATGATAGTTATTTTTTTAGTCGTCTCACAATAATTTTTCGTTGATGTAATCTTTCAAGGTTAACGGAATTTAGTAATTAAAAATAAATATCAATATGATACCTAAATAATAATAACCACTTCAAATTCAAAAAAGATATAAGAATTTAATATATTTCAGTAACACTTTATAGGAAAGTGATCATACAATCTATTTATTAAGGTTAATAAATATGGAGCACTTCATATTCTATTAAATATTATATCCCATAGGAGAATCCCAAATATTTTTAGATATTTTTTAAAGAAATTCTATATAAAATCTTAAAAGTATATATAAAAATTATATATTTATATGTCAGCTTGATTCGGGCTCTTTTACTCAATACCAAACCAAACCTAGACGGGTTTTTTGATCGGTTTGGTTTGACTTTTTGGTTCGGTATGTTTTCCGGTTCGGTTTGTACACCCCTACCAAGGGGTATCAAAATATAAAAAATTAGATACACCGAAAAGTCAAGGGGAATCAACATATAGTAATATACATAAAACCAAAAAAAAAAAAAAATCTAACAATACAGTGTAATTTTTATCGACACCCCTTGATTGAATATGGCTCCGCCACATGTCACTACTATCAAAAAAATACTAACACTACCGGCAACACTATTGAGGTACTCGATCAGTTGCAACTTATGTGGCATATTTTCCTAATTTGTTCCAAAATCAATGATAATTTTTTATATTTAGAAATAATTTAACTTTAAAACTTTATTTTTATTTTTAATGAGATGATTTATAGTCACACAATTATAAAAAACCAGTTATAATGGCTTCTTAATTTCTTTTTTATCTTTGTTTCCCATTTGGTATCTGACACTCGTTTAGGTACCTCGTCTAATCTTATTTCGACACGTAAGACTAATTAAAGGGGAGTCTATTTTTTTCATTATTTAACATTCTGCTTTCCCGGGGTAGGGATAAGATCTGCGTACACACTATCCTCCTAAACCCCACACGTAAAATTATACTGGGTTGTTGTTGTAATACCCTGCTTCCCATTTACGGCAACTCATAAACAGATTGAGTATATTAAACTCTAGTTATAATTTGGACAGTTATCCCCTCTCTCCCTACCAGCAAACTAAACTCCCTGCATCAGCAATATTTTGATTTTAATTATTTCTGTTAAAATAAATAAGTTTATCATTAATAAAAAACGATCAATAATTGTTACTTAATTAAAGCCTCTTTTTTTGGGTTTGGTGAAGAATGTTGGTCTCAACTCCTATTCCCTCCATCATCAAATAATGACCTGTTGAATATAAAATTATTCAAATCCAGTTTTTATTTATATTAAATTCCTTATGATATGTCTTTTTCTTTTTTTGGTAAAGGAATTTGGTCTCAACTCTATTCCCCCATCATCAAATTATTAGATATTGAATAAAAATAATCAGATCCCAATCTTTAATTTATCGGTATTTTATTCCCTTGCCACATGTCATTTTTTTAAAAAAAATTGATAAGGACAATGATCTCAACTCCTATTCCCTCAATATCATCAAATTATTCGATGTTGAATAAAAATAATCAAAACCAATCTTCAATTTAATGCTAATATAATTCCTTTACAATATATCGTGGATTCCATTATCATTATTCTTTATAATTACTTTCTTTAGTTCGTTTAGCATAATTTGATTGAAGTCCACTTTGGAGGTTAGGACCGTTAAACACTTGAGTTTTTATAATATCAAATACGACCAAGTTCACACGCCTTAGTTAATTATAGGGGTGTACATGGACCGGGTTGGTTCGGTTTTTATCAAAATCAAACCAAACCAATTATATCAGTTTGGATTAGTTCGGTTTTGTCGGGTTTTTTGGGTTTTCGGGTTTTTTTGTTACATGAATATTATTTCAATCTTACTTTATTAAAATTATAGATAAAACTTTGATAAGTGAATATATGTTTAGTAAATATGGAAAAAAATTGACGAACATATGATCTATTAAAATATTCTAATGAGAGATTTTAGTAACACATGATAGTTTTTTTTCTGTTAATTTATGCTTTCAAGGTTAATACATAAGAGGATCCCAAATATTTCTACATTTTCTAAAAATATAAATAAAATTTATATATTTATATGTCGGTTTGATTCGGGTTTTTTATTCAATATCAAATCAAGTCAAACCAAACCTAGTCGGGTTTTTTAATCGATTTGGTTTGGTTTTTCGATTTAGCGTGGTTTTTCAGTTCAGTTTGAACACCCCTAGTTAATTACTTAATAGCATCTGGGATATAAATCTTTTCAATAATCTTTTTAAGAAAAAAAACATTCGATATATGTGTCACATCAAATTTTAAGTGGACTCTTTCAGCCAACTCCTAGTGAACACTGAATACTAAATTAATTACTATTTGCCTATAATTTGTTTGCAACTTAGTTTTGGAATTCTTTTCAAAATTATAATTCTAATTTTTTTCTAAAAAGTAGAATTATAATTTTGAAAAGAATTCCAAGTGCTTCTATTGGAAATGTTACCGGAACTCCGACGACTCTATTTCAGTCGGAAAAGCAGCGATTTTCTGGTAATGTGCATTCATTGCTTTCGACTCAACTTCTCTCTCTATATATATGGCAATATTTTAAAGATAAGTCCAAGTGGCAAACTTGATTAGCAACTTTCTTGTCATCCACTACAAATTTACATGCAATTTCAAGTATAAATAACCATCATTTGGCTGCACAATAATCATCCGATCAGAAGTGATTTTTTAATTATAGCTCGTTTGGCCAAGCAGCAAAAATCAGCTTATTTTGAGAAGTGCTTTTTTTCAAAAGTGTTTTTCTCAAAAGTATTTTTGGTGAGAAGCAGTTTGTGTTTGGCTAATTAGTTTGAAAAACACTTCTGAGCAGCAATTAGTGTTTGGCCAAGCTTTAAAAAACTACTTCTAAGTGTATTTTTCTCAAAAGTGCTTCTCAAAAAAGTGATTTTGGAGAGAAGCTACTTTTTTCTGCTTCTCCTCAAAAACACTTTTTTTCCTTCCAGAAGTTTGGCCAAACACCTCAATTTTTGGCCAAAAGTGCTTTTGGAGAAAAAAAAACAACACTTTTGACCAAAAATAAGTTTGGCCAAACAGGCTATTAGCCTTCTTCTCTTTTTCTCTTAGCTTCTCTTATTTCCATTTTCTTTGTCCTATTCTCTTTTCAATCTTGTTGGATTATTGTAATATAAATATTTTGTTGATTCCTGTATCCTATAAATAAATTAGAGATGAGCTTGTTTAATCCTGGGAAAATATTTTACATTGCTGAAATAGCTTTTTAGGACAGTGTCTGGCACGACTCAAGTCAATCCGTGTATCCTCTTACAAATAATATTGAAGCAGTATTACTA